AGAAAATGTATTGTTCCTAATGGCTAGAAGCCATATTCATATTAGTTTCAATATTTGTATAAACTCAGAGGGATTAGGCGCTTGTGGGTTTTTCCAATTCCTGGTTATTACAGTTCTAGCCGCTAGTAAGATATGAGAGATTGCTACATGTGAGAAGTGCAGTATGTCTGAGATTCCCAAATTTATTAGAGCGAGAGCGGGGTTAGGCTGTATTATCAGTCCTGTAACCTCTGATAAGACTTGGAAAATCTTTTTCCAGAAACTAGTAATATTTTTACAATACCAAAAGGATATGTGGAAGTGTACCCACTGCTCCGCAATCTCTCCAACATAAGGGAGAGTGGAGTGTGCTACATTTGGAAATTCGATGAGTATAGTTCCAACGTGTAGTAATTTTCAGGGACATTTCCCAGTGGTCTATGCAGCTAAATGATTTATATTTGGATCTAATGGCAGATTACCATTTGTTCTCTGATAATTTTTCAGATAGGTCAGATTCCCATTGGAGCATAGCCGGGTATTTGACAAATTTTAGTTTCTCATGTAGGCAAGTATTAAAAAAATGAAGTATTAAAAAAAAAGGAAGTTGATTTAGTAGGGGTTCTGGTAGTCGTTAGTTTAGCCCAGGTCATATCAGAGATCCAGTTAATATTGAAAGGTAGGTTGCGTAATGCATGTGTGATTTGATAATACTGGTAACTTTCTTTGTCTGACAGTCTAAATTCAGTCTTCACTATGTGCCAAGGCTTAATGTTGTTGGATATGTAGAGGTCAGATTTTAGTCGAAGTCCTTTTTCTAGGTATGACTGCAGTGTTAGATAAGAGATAAGAAGCTCCATGCTTTTCAAAGGGAAGGGTAGTGAGGAGATAGGGGCTTTAATATGGGCGTTGGTTATCAGTCTTCTCCAGGCTAGTAGACTGGATTATATAGTAGGGGGAAAGGTGTTTGTGACCAGGGTTTCCAGGCATCTATTAACAAGAAATGGGCCAGGTGGTGTCCTGGGACTAGCACTGATTCAAGTTTCACCCAAGGGGTATCTAAAGTCTGGTGGAACCATTCTCTAATTTGATCTAAGCGAATGGCCGTAAAGTAATCACTGAAATCAATGCATCCCACCCCACCTGAGTTTCGGTGTTTATGAGCAATAGAATTTGAAATACTAGCTTTTTTATCACCCAATAGAAAGTGTTTATAGAGTCTAGTTATGGATGCTAAGTTGTGGAGAGGAAGTGGCAGCGGGAGGTTCTGAATATGTATAGGATCTGGAGGAGTATTTTCATTTTGAATGCAGCTTGTCTGGCCATCCATGACAAATTAAATGAGCGTAGTTCAGTCATCTCTTCCAAGATTTTCTTTAGTAAAGGTTCATAATTGAGTTTGGTGAGGGAATGTAAGTTAGAGGATAGTATAATACCCGGGTACAGAATTCCACTATCTTTCCACACATATGGTAATTTAGCTTGTAATTAGGTTGTTAAGGAATGAGAGGTACCAATGTTTAAAATAAGGGATTTAGAAAAGTTCGCTTTGTAATAGGATATGGCGCTAAACTTTTCCAAAACTTCATGTGCTGACGGAAGCGATCTGAAGGGTTGGTTAGCAATATCAATACAGTATTTAATATTTTCAAACATTTAAAAAAAGTTAAATAACAAACAAAGTAGTACAATGTTACCATAGCAACTTTCCACTACTCTGGGGGGGGGGGGGGGTTACACTTTAAAGATTATTGCTCCTGCAATGCAAAGCTTGCTTTGAACTGTCATGACTGGGTTAAATTCATGACAGTTCAAAATACTACTGATCTGTGATTGGCTAGAGCTGGTCACATTGTACAGGGTGCTATGACTGGCCCCATGTACCATATGAGAGCTTTGGGCCAAACCACAGCTCACCAGGAAAAGAAGCACACCTTTGCTAACATTGTAATCATGTGATTGCATAGCAATCACATGATCACCAGGTCCCATTCATCGGGACCTTCATTCACAGTGGTCACAGGTGGGAAACACCCCCTGTGTTAGAACAACCCAGAGCGACATACCCAAATGTCGCTTTGCCTGTAGCTGCTGTCCATCCACGGTACATTGTGGGTGGGCAGCAAGTAGTTCATATCACTTTAAAAGAAATGTTAAAGAAATGTCTACATTTGAAGAGAACTTAAAGGCTAGATGCGTTGAATATGTACATTAATTTGGCAGTGCAGGGCATTGACAACAGGTTGGTATGTAGACAGATTTAATTGAATGAGCCAAAGTCAGACTTAAAACAGTATTAAACCTAAAAAGCAACTGTTTTAAATTGTAGCTTACCAGTTCTTAGATGTGGTGGCTGCATTAGTTTTCTTTTTTAGGATGTGGTGATCCAGTCAGTCCAAAAAATGCAAGCCCTCCAGCAAATATAGCAGTTAGAGTATTGAGACAAACCATTTACCACTGACAGGGCTGCTTATCACAAAAGAAAAAATCATGTTTGCTGTAACTGCTTGTGTAACTGCAGTGGGAGCTGTAGTTTAGCTTCAGTTTGTTAGTATATCTAAATCTGCTAGTCAATCTAACACTCCCCTCCCCCAAATAACAGCACCGCTGTCCAAAGGTGCCCCTCTGCTCCTTCACCGAGAGTGATGGCACTGTAATACAGGAGGTATATTACTGGCCAGATCACCAGGTGAAAACAGAGGGGAAAAAAAGAAAAAAACTTAATGCAGCCACCACATCTGATTCTGGTCTGGAAAAAAAAAAAGTTATAATCCTATAGCCACAGTTGATCAAGAGGAAGGCAAAAAAAAAAAAACAGGAAATCATGACGCAATTTGCTCCTGCAGGGAAAAAAAAATTCCTTCCTGATACCCTGAGAGGCAATCATATATTCACTGGATAAACTTGACCTATAAATGTTAGTAACCAGTTATATTCTGTGTATCCAAGAAATAATCCAGGCCTTTTTAAAGCATTCAACTGAGCTGGCCAGAACCAACTCTTGAGGGAGTCTATTCCACATTTTCACAGCTCTTACTGTGAAGAAACCTTTCTGTGTTTGGAGATTACATTTCTTTTCCTCCAGACATAAAGAGTGCCCCCTTGTCCTCTGTGATGACCTCAGGGTGAATAACTCTACACCAAGTTCACTATATGAACCACTGATGTATTTATACATGTTGATTATATCCCCCCTTAACCACTTCCCGTCCTGTAAATGGATTGGTTTCTGTGCAGAGTTGCACCAGATTTTGCACTCTCCAATTTTAGTAAATAACCCTCAATGTCTCTATATTTGTACTTAAGCAGCTTAAATATAAAGGGGAGCTGAGGATTCCCTAGTGGCAAGGAACATTGGGAACTCTGTGAGCTCCCTAAACTGCGAATAAAATTATTAAAGCTATCCTTTCTGAATGCTTCCAAAAGACAATGTCCGATGACATCTACAGGGTTTTTCCCTTCAATACATTCAGGGAAAATAATCCCCTAATGGGGCTTTCATTTTAGAGTATTTAAGACAAAAAAAAAAAAAACATTGAATTTTCCATCACCTTTTGTCTCAATGACAATGGCCACCAGGATAAACAGAATGAATATTTCCTGGAGCAGACAGTAAAAATCCTGACAAGGGTTTTAGCACTTCCATATTCTATACAAAAGTTTAAAAAATATTTTTTATGCTTTATATATTTTAAATCCTTGATTGGACACTTGTGCTCGACCAAGTCCTTAATTTGCCACGTACATTATATTTAAAGCCTTAATGAAAAGGTAAAACCTTTCCAAATAGAGGTTTTCAGGAAATTGTACTGTTGATAAATCATCTTTGATAAATCCATTATAGCAACAAATCTATTTTTTTTTTCAACATTTAAAACTTAATAGTGATACAGCTTTCTATATTTTATAGTTAGGTCAGTAAGTAGCAATCTGGCAGATAAAGAACTTGTAATTTTCCCAATCGTTTAGTAATCTAGGAACAGTGCCCTTTAAAACGATAAGGTCACCTTTCGTAACATGCTACACCCATATTTTAGGGTGTAACATGTTACAATCGGACTGGCCTCTGAACCCCCCCCCCCCCCCCCCCCCTACCTGTTGTGACAGCTAGGATCTTCTGCTCCCTGCTAGCTGAAGCTATGCGGGGTTCTGCCAGCCCGACCATGTCATTCATTCACAGTATTCTGTGAATGGGAAAAAACTACAAGTCCAGACAGTCTTTGCGGCTTTTCTCAATGAACTACCATGGTGCTCCACAGCGCCGTGGTAATTCATTGAGCCTTCCTGTCAATAAGTACCGTATTTTTTGCTCCATAAGATGCACTTTTTTCTCCCCAAAAAAGGGGGGAAAATGTCAGTGCGTCTTATGGAGTGAATATGGAGCAGCCAGGCCGGTATTTCCACTGCCGCCGTGTCAGAATCCCGGGCCGGCCGCTCAGCTCTGCAGCAGGACCTTTCCTGTTCCTCGGTCCAGCGCTGTGCAGTCTTCCCGAGTCGGTTTCTTTAGTGTGGGCTCTCGGCTTGACAGCCAGGTGCCCAGTGAGCATGTGTGAGAAGCTCTGCGCTTTGTGAATGGTATGGCATCTTCTGGGACACATGACAGGTCCCAGAAGATGCTGGACCAATCACAAAGTGCAGCGGTCAGCCGGGTGCCCATACTAAAGGGAGAACAACTCCGCGGAAGTGGGAGTGGGTACCTGTCAAATTCAGGTACCCGCTCCCCCTCCCTCTCCAAAGGTCCGCAGGCATCTCCTGTACTGTGCAGTCTCTGGTCATCCCCTGTACTGTCCGCAGTCTCTTGGTCATCCCCTGTACTGTCCGCAGTCTCTTGGTCATCCCTTATACTGTCCGCAGTCTCTTGGTCATCTCCTGTACTGGGTCCGCAGTCTCCGGTCATCTCCTGTACTGGGTCCGCAGTCTCCGGTCATCTCCTGTACTGGGTCCGCAGTCTCCGGTCATCTCCTGTACTGGGTCCGCAGTCTCCGGTCATCTCCTGTACTGGGTCCGCAGTCTCAGTCTCCGGTCATCTCCTGTACTGGGTCCGCAGTCTCCGGTCATCTCCTGTACTGGGTCCGCAGTCTCCGGTCATCTCCTGTACTGGGTCCGCAGTCTCCGGTCATCTCCTGTACTGGGTCCGCAGTCTCCGGTCATCTCCTGTACTGGGTCCGCAGTCTCCGGTCATCTCCTGTACTGGGTCCGCAGTCTCCGGTCATCTCCTGTACTGTGTCCGCAGTCTCCGGTCATCTCCTGTACTGTGTCCGCAGTCTCCGGTCATCTCCTGTACTGTGTCCGCAGTCTCCGGTCATCTCCTGTACTGTGTCCCACAGTCTCCGGTCATCTCCTGTACTATGTCTGCAGTCCATTGGTTCAGAATATTTTTTTTTCTTGTTTTCTGCCCCTAAAACCTAGGTGCGTCTTATGGTCAGGTGCATCTTATGGAGCGAAAAATACGGTATCAGCTTGCCCATACGGGAAGTACGAGCAAGCAGATACAGTGACAGGTCAGAGAGACCTGCATGGCACCAGCGAGTTTCTGATCACTGGTGCAATGCTTTTGAGGCTCCAAAAACAAAAAATAATAAATGCACATTTTTTTACCTTCAAAAAATGTGCATTATTTTTAGTTAAAAGGTAAACTTATCCTTTAAAATTCTTTACTTAGAGCAAGTGCTCCACCTTGGGCTACCCTTTTATTTGCTGATTAGGGATGAATAAAATGTGTTCGATTCAGTGAACATTGTTGTTTGGATCCAGAATTCAAACTCCATTTAAAATTAATGGGAGTCAAACATTCTTTTTTAGCAATGGCCATTTTCTAAGCTAAAAGTCAATGGATTGAGAAAGAAAAGGCACGTGGAAGCTGGCACTAATCTGAGGGGCATGCACTAAAGTATTTTTTTTGTATTTTTAAAATGTTATCGTTCAAAGGGGAGAGGCCATTTTGGAGAGGCTCAAAGGGAAACATAAAAATGCAATTCATTTAAACAACAAGTATAAGTGATGCCTTAAAGCTGTATATGGACTTACAGTATGTTATGACTCTCGGGACAGTGATAGCGACACCATATTCATCACATATACATAAATATATACACATATGCATCACATAAATTGTATGTTTTTTCATTTACTTTTACATAATTGCTTGGTTTACATACAGCAGCAACAACTCAGTATGATGGATTTTCATATGAAAAGAGATTTTTTTTTTGTGTAGAAGTAATAACGGAGCATTGGAAACAGCTGAAAATGATCTTAATTTATATATAGATATAGAGTATATAAAGTTAAAAAAAAAAGAAAAAGAAAAAAAAGCTAAAGCTATTAACATCATATACATTACCAAAACAGGTGCAATAATAATCAAAAAGCATAGCTTGTTGGGATCTTTCATGCAGAAACACACGGTATTGTGTACAAACCACAATTCACAAATCCACATAGAACTGGATATCTGCCAGCTTTCCACAGGGTTCCCCAAAGAGTGTATGTAAAGGTCCACAATAGAGTTGTAAGGAAATGCAACTAATTATATTGGACATATATTGGCCCCATTCTCATTAAGGGCATCCAATATAATTAACTGCATTTCCTTACAACTCTATTGTAGAGCTTTGCATACATATGGTGGGGAGCCTTGGGATCCTTGTGGTGGGCCCTCTTTGGGGACAGCTTCCCTGTGGAACCTGTGGACGTTGGCAGATATCCAGCCCTAATATGACTAATTCCATGCCGTTTGTTTATGCAGTATTATCTGCTCAAACTGTGTAAGCGTCGCCTAATACTATTGATTGTTTATGACTTTACATATTTACTGGCTTATCCTGATTTTTTACTATCTCGGTTTTACTGTTACATAACTAATTTCTGTATGTCGCATTATAGAATTGATGTACCTAAGTTTTCTCCCTGCTGAAGGAATCATTTTTCCAAAACATGTTGGCAATTCTTGGAAGAATACACTCTAATTGATTCAGTCATTCCAGACAACCGTCTGTTTGCTTGGTGTATTTCTATGCTACAGGGTACATCTGTTATACATGGCCTAAAAAAAAAATCTTCCTTTTCATTTTTGTACTATGAAAGGTTTTATGTTTTTATCCGACCTGTTGGACTGTTTTATTAACAAAATTTGATGTTATTTGTAATAAAGAAAGGTATTTTTTAGACAATTTTTCTTTTTCTGTCTTTAAAGTCCCGGGGGGGGGGGGGGGTGTTTGGTTCCTGGTGTCTTGCAATTTCTTAGAGTAAATTATGGCACACAGAGCAGCTTTTTACTGATGACAGGGTTTTGCACCACCTAGAGGTGATTGGATACTGGCAAAAAGACAGCAAGTCCTCTCCTAAATAATTCCTCCCATACAGGACGCCCTTCAGTTTTATAGCAAGCCATACATTCCAACATAGAGGGAGGGGATCACTGTGTCCTGTGATGCATTCCAAAAAATAGACTTTGCTGATAATCCAAAAATGGGACACAGAGTAGCTTTATTATTCATTACTCTCAGGAATGTCCTAAAGCAATACCCATGAGAGGATGGAGACATGGCAACCACAGACAGGACAAAAAGAACCTACATAGCAGCCAGCAAAAAAACACCTACTAAAGGCCACATCCTCAGCAGCTCATCCACCAGGTACAATCTTGTAAGATTGTGAACCAAAGACCAGGCTGTGGCTTTGAAGCCCAAGTCACAGAAGTTTTATAACATATAAGCCCAGGAGGCACCTACATCCCTGGTAGAATGGGCCATCATCAGAAATAGTGGACCCTTTCCTTCCAAACCATAAGCTTGAGATATAAGATGACAAATCAAATGTGAAATAGTAGACTTTGTAGCCATGAAACCTCTTTGACACTTCAGGAAGGACAAGTAGACAGTCTGATTGCCTGACCATGGCAGTCAATTTCAGATGCATCTTATGCAGGGTCTTGTCCCCTGGCAACTGAGGCCTACAGGAAAAAAAAAAAAAAGGTAAAATGTCCTGGTTGAAATGAAAGACTGAAATCACATTCAACAAAAATGATGCTGGGGTCAAAGAACCACATTATCATGGTGAAGTACCAGAAATAGCTCCCTGCTAAAAAGAGATGCCAGTTCTGGCACCCTTCATAGAGAAGTAATATTAGCCAAGAACACAACCTTTCATGTCAAAAGGACTAAGGGAAGATCCAAGATTGGCTCTAATGGTAACTCCTGTAAAGCCAACAGTAGCAAATTGAGGTCCCTCAATGTCAAAGGCAACCTTACCAGAAGAACAATTATGCGTGACACCCTGAACAAAGGCATGCACTAATGAAGAAGACAAGCTGGCCTTTGAAAAAGATTGTCAAAGCTGAAATCTGCCCCTTGATTGTACTGAAGGCCAGTTGCATAGCAACCCCTGACTGGAAAAAATTCTAAATACTGCCCACAACATACTTGCAAGAATTAAACCTCCTAGCCTCACACCAGGTCACATAGGATTTCTAGGTTGATATGATGATGTGACAAGAGATCTGGGTGGGTGGAAGTGTCCAAGGACTGTCCACTGACATCTTCAAAAAGTAGGAATACCTCTGGGCAAAGCTGGTGCAATCAGAATTACCAGTACTTCTGTGATGCAGATGCAATAGTAGCTGTAATGGAAGAAAGGCATGCACCAGAGAGACCTTGTCACATGGCATCGCCAGGGCATCTACCTAAAAAACCCTGAGGATCCCTAGTCCTGCAATAAAGCAGTCTAGCTTCTCATTTAGCCTAAATACCAAATCTACAGTATGTCCAGCATGCCCCACCAATAACAAAGAGCCTCAATACCTCCAGGTAGAAAGCTTGCAGCTGACGGCTTGTAGTTCTCAATAAGTTTACTAAGTAGTTTATTGATCCTTCCTGTCATTCAGTAACTGCCTGCCAGTATGAGGTATGGGCAGACAACTAAACTGGCAGTCTTCAGGAGCCTGAGATTGCACATACAATCTGCTTATCCTGGGTGCAATGCTTTACAGGCGCCTAATAAAAATAACAACTGCACTTTATTTTTTTACCTGCAAAAAGATGTGCATTTATTTATTTTTTATTTTTAAAGTGAACTTATCCTTTAAAAGACATTTGTTCTGGTTATAAGAACAATGGGATCTTGATGGAGAAATTGCTCTTTTTTTTCCCCCTTTGTCATGGTTTACTAATACAAAGGAATGTATCCAAGCCTGATTGAGGGGCTATATGGTTGAGTACTCAGCTGACCAACACCGCAGAAATGTCTGTAATAGTTGTTTTGCACATTAACTAATCATGCTTCCAGGAATGTATGCCCTTTTCCTTAAAAGGTGTTAAGGATTACGATTGGCCACTACCAATTATTACTGTTTATAATGCAGCCAAAACTAAAATAAGGTAGTCTCTCAGCAGAGCTGCTATAAGCATACATCTGTTTTCATCATCTGCCAAGATGTTGGAAACGAGTGAGCCTCTTTGGAGAAAGACATCTATATTATACCTGCAAATAAGTTTCTTGTTATATTTTTACAACATTACATTTGTTATCTCTGTCATTACTCAACCAAATGTTATATACTTACATGTGTTTGTGTGATCTCTCTTTGCGCATTTTGAAACAAACCTCCAAAACATCACATGATCACTGTGATAAAAGAGACCTGTGCAAAAGCAGTCCCAATCAGTGAAAGGGCTACTGTGCCAAAGCAACAGTATGTTTGTTACAATAGGAGACAACCCAGCTGCCCCCATACCAACAGGCATGCTTACACGACCTGCAATACAGCTTCCAAAGCTGGAGAGTCTTCTCTGTGTCTCCTGTGATGCCTCCATCAGTGCTGCTGCTACTACTGCTACAGTTCCTTTATCCTCAGAATGTGCTATGTCCAGCTTCCCATGCCAGCAATATGGCTCTTCCATTCTGCTCTTCCCCTCTAATGTCATCGCTGGGCAGATACCAATGATGCTCAATTAGAGGCTGCCTGGCCCGACAGTGACCATGACTTGCTGGATGTTTATTCGTTTACATATCCATGCTGGTGACAAGCGGGAGCATGAGTATAGCTATGTAAAAAAATAAACACCGAGACAAACCGTGAAACATGAAGTAAGCCCATAGAGCATCACAAACAGTACCTCTGCCCCCAGTGGTCAGTAGGAAAAAGGCACAGGCAGCCTACACAGCTTCTGTCCCCCAGTAGAGAGCAAGGTCTGTAGTTCCCTGGTATATATCTAGATCTTTCTTTGAATATTGGAACTACATTTTTGCAATGCCAGTCAGTACCATTCCTGCCATTCAAGAGTCTTTAAAAATCAGGATGAGCGGCTCAGCTATCATT